CTCGAACCCACGGGCTCAGGCAATCCACTCACCTCAGCCTCCCAAAGCGCAGGATTACAGTGGTTCTTAAAGTGTAGTTCCCCCTACCAGAGCATTGGCACCCCCTATGCCTTGTTACAAATGCAAATACTCAGGCCCCACCCTAGACCCACGAAAGTGGAATTATGGGGTAGGGACCTGGCAATCTGTTTTGACACCTGCAGGTGATGCTGCTATGCTTTCAAGTTTGAGAACAACAGCTCTGGCTTACAGGCCTATTGCTACCACATTGGGCAAAGCTTCTTCAGGTTCCTGGGCTTCTCTGAAATCTCAGTTCTGGTTCCTCAAGCCTATGTTGGGGGAAGGAGAGGAAGTAAAATAATGACTAGTACCAACTACTCAAGGTTGAACATTTGTACTATGCCAGGGACAGTTCTGAGCATTCTTTATCTGTTAACTCATTTAATCCTCACGATCCCCATGAGACCAATACTATTATCATCATAACCTTTCTATAAAGGTTCTATACACATTGATTGGCTAACATGCTCAGGGTCGCTTAACTAGTAAGTGGTGCCACTAGGGTCTGAACCCAAGGTAGAGTAAGTCCAGTCTCAATCTGACCACCTACTGGACCTTGTGGGAGTTAGGGAGTCTGCTCCCTCTCACCCCAGGTTCCATTTTTTTCCACCTTGAGGATGATGACATTTTACCACCAATCTCCCTGTATTAGTCTGCTTAAGCTGCTGTAACAAAACACACAGTCTGAGGGACCCAAACAACAGTACTTAATTTTCTTGCAGTTCTGGAGTTCAGGAACAAGGTGTGACAGGCTTGGTTTTCTCTGAGATCTCTTCTTGGCTTGCAGATGGTCACCTTGTTGCCTCTTCATATGGCCATCCCTTTCTGCACACATGATGTCTCTTTGTGCATCCAGATTCCCCCTTTTTTTAAGGACACCAGCCCCTTTGGATTAGTGTCCATTTTTACAACCTCCCTTTAGCTCAGTCATTTCTTTAAAGGCCTTATCTCCAAACATAGTCACATTCTGGGGTACTAGGGGTTAAGGCTTCAACAGATGAGTTTTGGGGGGGACACAGTTCAGCCCATAACACTCCTATTTTCCCATCATCTGTGCCTTTGGCCAACAGTAACTATTTCATGTCTTTGTACCCTGGAGTACCCTCTTATCTCCATCCAATGAAACATTCTTTTTTCTGAATTTCTTCTGGGGTCATATGACTGTATCCAGGGACAAGGTGATCAGGCTCTGTATATGCTACAAATGTATGGCTTTAATTTGGCAAGAGCTGCTGTGTGTACCTAGGAGGTGAGGGATCTGCACAATATATAGCGAGGCAGCCTTTTTAACTTTTTCTACAGAGGAGTCAGACATAACAATGCTTCTTAAAGTATTGTTTGTGGACCTGTTTGTCTCAGAGTCACCTGGGCTGCCCCTGGACATAAGAGTGACCTATAAAAGAAGAATCTCCAAGGGTGTATCCTTGGAGTGTACATATCTAAGACTGTCCTTTGTGTAAGTCACTACCCCATCCTCCCTGCATCTGGTGATTCTTATGCACACAAAGGTATTGGCCTTTATGTCTGTGAGTTAGATACGATTGGGTTGTGTTTCAGCTATTCTATTACCAGGTGTGTGGCCCTTGGAACAGGTCAGCTTCCCTGAGATTATGTCTTAATTTGCGATGGAATGAATCTAGATAATTAATGGAATTAATCTAGTTGCCTCCCACGGTTGCTATAAGGATAAAATTAGAACATAGAAATAAAGCACTTTCCCACTTGCTTGTTGTGGAAGGGAGGATATTCAATTCCTAGTAGCATTGGTCCTGCCACCAAAGTAGCATTTTTACTACTGAGCAAAGGCTTCTTTTGCGTCCCAAGGCACATTCTGTAAACCCTAGTCTATGTGCAGATAGAAAAGTCCACACAGAAGTTGATTAACAGGACCCACGGGGTGAGGAGAGAACATGGATCTGGGCCAAGTTAGGAGGAAGGGCCACAAAGAAAAGGAATCTCAAAGGACACCTGCTGACTCACAGCAGCTGGGCTATAAACTCCAGACCTGGTTCCTATCCAGCTAGGTTTATGGTGTGCTGTCAGAAATAGCTGTCCTGGGTGAGTGTGTCAGAGCTGTCTTCTGACTCCCAGACTGACAAGGTTTCCTTGTCTGCTAGAATTACTAACATGCAAATTTGTTTGCAATTTCTGAACTCCCTGAAGATCTGTGGACACGATGGTGGGTTGGATGCAAATTTGAAATGACATGTTGATGGATCTTCTTGCGTTTTATCGTTTGCAGAGGAGCTGAAGGCCCCCCTGGAGGAGTACGTCCACAAACGCTACCCTGGGCTGGTGAAGGTGGTGCGCAATCAGAAGAGAGAAGGCCTGATCCGGGCACGCATTGAGGGCTGGAAGGTGGCCACTGGCCAGGTCACTGGTTTCTTCGATGCCCACGTGGAATTCACCGCGGGCTGGTAGGTCATACACTGAAACTTAGGAGCACTTGGGAGACCTGCACTGTGGTTGTGAAGGGCTGCGACTTGAGAGGTGGGACGTGACGAAGGACTAGCTGAAAAAGAAGTTGAGACCGTTGTCTGGTATAAAACGGGAAGAAATTTGTCTGCCATCTATTTAGTTCACCATCATTGTCATTATCGTTATACTTATCATCAAAATTCTGATGAAAGTGTGCTAATTAGACAGAACTCGGGAGAATCCTTGCAAAGGCATCAGACAGTTGTATTTTTATTCTCTTTTCCCATGTTGCCGTTCTCTTTTCTGGGGAAGATGGTTGACTGTTAATGTGGGAGAAGAATTTTATTTATAATTCTACTACTCACGCTAAGCCTCCTGGAATTTGTGGGATTATCTTTAACATCATTTGGGGGGAGAGGGAGCTTATTTTCTGCAGATGTGGCCCTGATGATTTTCCAAGTAAAAAGAAAAGTGTGAGAGAAATTGGTAAGCATACAGGGAGCAGGAGACTTTGGATGCGAAAAGAGTGGAGCATCAGAAATGCCCCAATCATTCAATGAGCATGTTAACACTGGAATAGGACTTTACAGTTTAATAGCATAATCAGATGATTATTGCTAACTGTCCAATGATAAGTCAAGTCAGAGGTAAAACAACCTGTGCCCTGGGTCACTTAATTAGTAAGAAACAGAATCTTGTATTTCACAAATAATGTTTATCTGCACTTAGTGATACCATCTTGAATAAGTGTTGTTCATAGAACCAGATTTGAAGAACCAATAGCTCATCACTAATTAGGCATTAAAATGTCAATTCCTCTTCATTTGCAGCCACCTTTAGAATCCTATTAATGACTGGATCAAAGGAGAATGGCTAGGCACATGGCCACACGAAATCCCGGGGCCACTGATAATACCTGCCCTTTCAAATGCATGCTGGGATCTGCTGTCATCTCAGATGTGGTTTCTCTTCTGTTTTTCTTTTGCTGGCATCCAACCCTGGTGACTCCCAGCTGCAAGTTCTCTGTCCCCACTGCTCCTCTGAGCTTGAGAGTTGTTTATCTTTCTCAAAGTGTGGTGCCCAGACCAGAAGCATGTGGGAACTTGTTAGAAATGCAAATTCTCGCCGGGGCTCCGTGGCTCAGCCTGTAATCCCCGGCCTTTGGGCGGCTGAGGTGAGCGAATTGCCTGAGCCCGTGGGTTCGTGACCCGCCTGGGCAACTTGACGAGACCTCATCTCTACAATAAATCAAAAATTAGCCGGGCATGGTAGCACGCACCTGTAGTTCCAGCTACTTGGAAGGCTGAGGCGGAAGGATCGCTGGAGCCCAGCAGGTCAAGGCTGCAGTGACTGGGAGCAGCCACTACTCTTCAGTCTGAGTGACAGAGTGAAACTCCAACTCAAAAAAAAAAAAGAAATGCAAATTCTCAAGCTCTACCCAGACCTAAAAAATCAGAAGCTCTAGGGGTAGGGTCCAGTGATCAGTTTTAACCAGTCCTCCAGGTGACCCTGAGGCATGCTCCAATTTGAGAATTGTAGAGCTAGAAGCCTTGTGAACAGATGCACTCAAATGCTTCATTGCGACCACAACTTTGGTGCACCTGTCTTTCCCGCTATATCATTGCCTCCTCATTTCTTTCCTATCCAAACACCCATGTCCCTTTCACTTGATTCTTCTCTTATCATCACCTCACTCATTTAGTCAACCTCCAGCACTAGCCAGTTTTACTTGCTGTTTCTCCCATCTCCCTCTTCCTCTGTCTTTACAACCACACTCCTGTCTTGGTCCTTCATGATCGTTCATCTAAACAAATGCAGTGGCTACCAGAATTCATTCTTTTTGATGGATGTTTACTGAATGCCCACCATGTCCCTATGTTATTCTAGGCATGGTGCTAAGCGAATTCTCAGGAGTTTCGGTGGTCATGCTGGAACAGTCCTGCACAAATCGGGACAGCTGGTCACTCAGCCAGGGCTCAAAATCTGGCAAGATTTGGTAGTTTCCTTCAATTCTGTAGTCTGATTCTAGTCCTTCTAGACTAATCTACCTATTGTCTAATTCTAATTGATCTCCATGACTTCGGTCTTTGCCTTTCAGACTCATTTTCCACACTTCTGCCAGGGTGGCACACAGTCCTCTCTGAATTAAAACCCTTTTGCAATTCTTCAGTACAGGGTAGATGGTGTGTTTAAACTTTTACTAGATTTTCCTGTGGTAATAATCTTTATTCTCCATGACTATGACGATAAGGCTTTCTCTCTTGTCCACGTGACATATCAGCTTCCGTTGTCTGTCCGTGGCTCCTGCTTGATTCCTCCTCTGTGTTCTGGGACCCAAGGGATCCTCCTGTCTAGGACAGGCCATCTTTGTGTCTCGGGGTAAAAAACAATGGCTGGATCTCACAAGGTCTATCAAAGTTTCTGTTCAGATGTGACGCTATCACTTCTCACGTTTGTTGGCAATCCGATTCCGAGGTCCAAGCCAAATGTTAATTGGAGGTCGAGGGGAGGAGTATAATCCAACAGGGAAACATTGCAGGCTGTGTGGTAATAGGCAGGACTTCCCCAGGGAGGGGAGCAAATAATTGGGAACTATCATACATTGCCTCATAGACAGTAGAATCAAACTCCTCAGGTGCAGAAGCATTCTTGGAACCAAAGTCTTCTGTCTCCATGCTCAGTGATGGGTTGCACTGAGGGCTTTTATATGCGTGGCCCCAGACCTGTATGACAGGACAGCGTGACCTGTCAAGGAGAGAGTGGAGCTTTGGGGTTAGACCTGAAACCAGACTCTCTAGGTGACTGGGTCACTGCACTCCAACCTGGCCAACAGAATGAGACCCTTCATCTAAAAAGAAAAAAAAAAGGAAAAGAAAAGAAAGAAGAATCTGACCTCTCTGGGCTCGTGGTGATCATAGTATCTACCTCATAGGATTGTCATGGAACTTGCATTAGTCAGCACATATAAAATGTTTAAAATGGTGCTTAGCATGTAGTAAGTGCTTGGTTATCATCGGCTATCATAATGGTTGTTCAAAGATTTTTATTTAATTTTTAATTTTGAAGACATGGGATACAATTCAGGATTAGGTATACAAATATTCATTATGCAGGTACCCTTGTTGATGAGATGTCCTCCCACCTCCCCGACAGTTTCCCACTACTGCCAGTCCTATCTTCAGAGATTTACAAAGGCAGCATACATTCAGTGTGACTCAAATGAGGTGGAGGAAATGGTCTAAGAGTTGAGAAAAAATAAAGCCTTCCTACTGGGGGAAATTAGGGCTGTCTTCTCGGAAGAGGTGACATTTGATCTAAGCTCCCTTAGATGTTTAGGCATTCTACCAATGGCATAGGACATAGAGGAGAGTAGCATGAGTGAAGACTTGGCTGGGGTGAAGCTCTGAAGCACGTCTGGAAGCTTTGAAAATCCGTCCCATTTGGCTTCGGCATATACGGTGTGTGCAAAAGTATTGGAGTCAAGTAATGGCCCAGGGTATATTTTATTGCTCGTTTTAAATCGAAAGATGAGATGAGCCAACAGGTAATTCAATAGCTGCAAATGAAAAGAGATGGGTTGTCGAACCGTGCATTTTCATTCTTCTTCCAAATAATGCAGAGGAATGGGATTTTCACTTGACTCTTTTCCAAAGTCTGTGCTCTGTTCTAAGCTGGGAGATTCATGTCTTGGCTTATAAGAGCCATCTTTTCCTTTTCAAATATGGGAAATGATCCCTTGCTGTGTCTGTCTCGGAGACACTCAGTGGCGGAGGTGTCTGACCATCTGCTTCCTCTGAGCCAGCCAGATCTTGAACCTGGAGCCGCAGCCCCCGTGTAAGGAAGAAGGCGAGCTGGGAGGCAGGATGCTGTCCGCCTTTGCATTTAATGAGTTCCCGGCCTTCTATTACTAACCAATTCAATTAGATCTCTTTTAAGAAATCAATTAAATAATCAATTAAAATAACTGAAGTAGTCACACACACAAAGAAGCTACTGAAACGCTTATTAAAACCAGGCCATCCAGGGCAGAAGTGACCTATTTTGGGAACGGGAATTCAGTACCAGCAGGAAAAACAAGAGGGGGCACTCAGTACTCTGGGGTGGGGGTGGGGTGCAGGGATGGGGAACCTAGGACACTGTTTAAAACTGTGGTGTAATACAAATTTTTTTTTTTTTTGCGTCAGAGTCTCACTCTGTCGCCCAGACTGGAGTACAGTGGCTGCTCCCAGCCACCGCAGCCTCGACCAGCTGGGCTCCGGCGATCCTTCCGCCTCAGCCTTCCAAGTAGTTGGAATTACAAGCGCACATTACCACACCCGGCTAATTTTTTGATTTATTGTAGAGATGAGGTCTCGCCAAGTTGCTCAGGCTGGTCTCGAACCCGCGGGCTCAGGCAATCCACTCACCTCAGCCTCCCAAGGCTTGGGATTACAGGCTGAGCCACTGAGCTCGGCTGTAATACAAATTATACAGAGCAAGTTCACTGTCGATATAAAAGAGAAACTTGGCACTTTCTCCACGTTCTGAGTTCTCATGTCAGGCTTCTCGTGCCAGAGCAGGCATCACTGTAGTGATTCCAACAAGGGTGAAAGCCTGAGCTGTTTCACACATGAACAGCCCACACATGAAGCCGCACGATCCAACTTGGGGAGGTCGCTGGGCTTCAAGGAATCTCAGCTTCCATCTGACTTCCAGCTTGTCCAGAGCCCAGCCTTTTAATGAAGTTGCTCCTGTTCATTCTCTATGGGCTTGGGGTGTGAGCCAGTCTTGGGAGGTGTGCCTCAGGAGGGAGGTTTTATTTCTGCTTCTCTGTGTTTCAGGGCTGAGCCGGTTCTATCCCGCATCCAGGAAAACCGGAAGCGTGTGATTCTCCCCTCCATTGACAACATCAAGCAGGACAACTTTGAGGTGCAGCGGTATGAGAACTCGGCCCACGGATACAGCTGGGAGCTCTGGTGCATGTACATCAGCCCCCCGAAAGACTGGTGGGACGCCGGAGACCCTTCTCTCCCCATCAGGTCTGTGGTGGATGAGCTCTGGTGGCCAGGGAGCCTCCAAATTCAAGGATAAAGAGGAACCAGTGAGGAAAGCCAGGAGCTGGAGCAGTGGGGTGCAGACAGCCTTGGGAACCATAGGGGTCTTAGGATCACAACTTGCTTGCGCTGAGCACATTGCCTTTAGCTAAAGTTTTCAGATGCAGCTTTCCAATCGCAGTGCTGAAAGTTTAAAATTGAGAGTAATACTCACTCTTCCTTTTTCTTCCTCATATATGTAGAACTGTGTTCAGGAGCTTTTGAGTATGAATTTTGAAAGATTCTGGGGCTCCTTCACACTTGAAACCATGTACTATTGCAGTCTTTTTCACCCTTTTTCATGTTATAGGATCATATAGAAAAGAATAATAGAGTGTAGCATCTTGGGGAAATGGAGAGCCTTTGGGAGCTCCATATTGCTCTTCTACTAGATTTCACCCAGCTGGCCTTGGGATGCGATCAGTATCTCATGACATATTAGTTGGGAAGCGCAAATATAAAGGAGGTTGAATAAAGCAGGTTGTTTTTGATGCCGTATTCGTTTCCTCTTGCTGCTGTAACAAATTACCACAAACATAATGACTTAAAACAGCACAGGTTGGCTGGGTGCAGTGGCCCAAGCCTGTAATTCCAGCACTTTGGGAGGACGAGGTGAGAGGATTGCCTGAACCCATGGGTTTGAGACCAGCCTGGGAAACATGGTGAGACCTCATCTCTACAATAAAACAAAATAAAATTAGCCAGGCGTGATAACCCGCGCCTGTAGTTCTGGCTACTTGGAAGGCTGAGGTGGAAGGATCGCTGGAGCCCAGCAAGTCGACGCTGGGGTGGCCCTGAGCGTGCCACTGCACTCCAGCCTAGGCGACATTGTGAGACTCCAACCCAAAAACAAGCAAACAAGAAAACCAAAAACAACAACCCAGGTGTATTCTGTTACAGTCTAGAAGTCAGAAGACTGAAATGAGCCTGATGGAGCTAAATCAAGGCTTCGAGAGGGCTGGATCCTTCTGGAGGCTCTAGGAGAGAATTCATTTCCTTGCCTTTTCGGCTTCTGAGAGGCCACCTCCTTCCTTGACTCATGACTGTGTCACATCTCTCTTTGTCTTCTGCTCCCTTTATCAAGTGACCTTTTTCTTTGGTGTTCTTGCTTCTCCTTTATAAAGGCGATTACATTTAAGGTTCATATGCATAAATCAGGATAATCTTCCCATCTTAAGATCCTTAACTTCGCCAGAGTCCTTTTTTCCATTTAAGGTAATATTCACAGGTCTTGGGGATTAGGATGAAGATTTTTTTGAGGGGGAGGATGAGCCCTCACAAATACTCTGATTTTTAGATGATCCCAGAGTTATAGTTCAGCATTTCCTGTGAGCTTTACTTGAGTGCCATAATGACGCTTAAGTGAGAAGAGTGGGAAAGTCCTGCTTATCCAGGTCTAGTTTTAGGGTTATGCTCGTTGGTGTTGTGGGGGGAGCAAGATGGAATCACGGAACAAGAATGAGGGTTTTTCACAGATGGCCACAAAGTTCTTCATCAACTTACAAATTTGTGATGAACAGAAGTAAGATTGTAAGACATTCTCTTATTTTTCTGCTCAAACTGAAAACTGCAAATTGCATTCAAGTAGAGGCACCTATGAGCAAATCCGTGCAACACAGAGGGTCATCTTTGGGGCCTATAACCTCCTTGATGGAATCATCTGATAGCTCAGTTCCCATCCCAATTGTTCATGCAGTGCTGCAGGGTCAGACTCTCAGCTGTCTGCAAATAATAGTGTCGACTCATCACTAAGGTATTACCTGAGAACCAAGTATACCTTCAGGGATATTTGAACTTCCCTGGTGAGTGCCTGAAGACATGCTGACCTTCAAATCTTAAAGGGGATGATATTCAAATGATGGACTCAGTAGACAGTAAGTTTCATATATTGGCCAAAGGATCCTCCCTGACACATGGGAGGCTGAATAGGCCAGGACAGATAACTGAATGAGGGTGTGACCCTAAGTGTTAGCAACAGAAGGAAAGAAGGGTACAGTGGGATGCTTCTAGATGCCCAGCAGACACCTGTAGTGGCTGTCTTAGTATGTAAGTCACTAAGTGGAAAGTTACCTTGTCTTTCATGAGTTACGGTAACATTAACAGATGATTAACATGCACTTTAAAAAGACCCAAGAAAATAGAGTCGTGATCATGAGTCATTAATATTGCACGCATCTCTGATGTACAAAATAGAATCAAATGCCAATGATCTCTTTTTAATGTATCTTAACTTATGAAATGCTTAATTTGTTAATAGTTGATGGGGATATTTAATTGTAGGAAAGAATTTTTATGGTCCTTCTGGTATTATTAAGCAGATACAATGTGGTTTCTTAGACATCAGGATACGGTGCTTTCTCCTTCTCGCTGTGATGCCAAAATTTTAATAGTTACAATTTTACTCTAGTGAAGAATGGAATGAGAAGAACTTTTCAGAATACAAATAGCATTAGATTAGATGAGTCTTTAGGTACTGAGACTACCCAGTTGGCAACGTAATATAGGATTTGCATTCATGGAATTTATATCCTTTCTGGTTTAGTTCTTCCCGTTTCTCCCTATATATCTTTTTTTTCCCTCCTGCCTGGTAAATAGCTATTTTCCAAGGTTTTCTGTTTGTTCTCTGGTCTTCTTTGTCTACAGTAGACTTTCAGGTGTAGAGTGTGAGGGCAGGGGCCAAGTGTAAAGGTGAGAGGTAAGGGAACTGACGAGCACATGTCCCACCCTGGGAGGCTGTGGCTATCAGCCCCACACGATGGTGCCAGCACCAGTGGGGTCAGGTCCTCAGACTTTTAAGGAAGTCATAAATCTAGATCCTTTGTGAAATCTCTTAACTTCCAAATGTTGGCAATAAATCCCTCTTTTTCCAAACTACAAGGACCTAATCATGTTTCTAGACTGCATTTGACCACCTGATCCCAGAACTTGATCTTGGCTCTACACTTGACCCCTTGGAGGCCTCTGTAACTCCCAGGAGAGCCTTAGTCCATACTTCTCACACTGGGAAGTATGTGGTATCATTGTAGGGCTGGAGAATTTGAGAAAAGCATCACTCAAGGTCATAGGAGCAACTTGACAAGACTTCCTGGAGCTTTATTAAACCTGTGGAGAGCCGGGCTTGGTGGATCAGCCTGTAATCCTGCGCCTTTGGGAGGCTGAGGTAAGTGGATTGCCTGAGCTCGCGGGTTCGAGACCCACCTGGGCAGCAAGACCTCATCTCTACAATAAATAAAAAAATCAGCCGGGCATGGTAGCACGTGCCTGTAGTTCCTGCTAGTTGGAAGGCTGGGGCGGAAGGATCGCCGGAGCCCAGCAGGTCGAGGCTGCGGTAGCCGGGAGCGGCCACTGCACTCCAGTCTGGGCGACAGAGTGAGACTCCAACTCGAAAAAAAGAAAAACCTGTGGAGAGTCCCCTTCTGTCATCCCATTGTGTGTTCACAGCCCTCTCTGCTGAGTTTCTTCTGTGTTAGAACTTTTGGAACATTGACCTAGCTCTTGCCTCTGTGTAAAGAAGTTCCCCAAATCTGTGTCTTAAGCCCTGATCATTCTCTAGGGTGACATCATTTCCATTGTCACCTAAACAACCCTTCTCATGACCAGTGGATTTTATACGTTTGTTGAGTCAAGGACCTCTTCATTAATTTGATGAGAAGCATAGACCAGGTTCCCCTTGCATATAATTTCATGAGGTATATAGATACCTTGAAGCCACTCTCCTATGGGGCTTAGGGTGTATATGATTAAACCATTGCTAGATATTTCTACTTGGCTCTCCTAGTTTCACAGTTGGATCCCCAGTGCCTAATGCGCACCTGGCACCTAATAGGTATGCCAAAAATATTTATTAAATGAATGGATGGATAAGTGGCATCTGAGGCTCAGAAGAGAGGTTGGGGTTCACAAACAATTAGAAGGAGGATGAGATTTCCCCCAGAGATACCTTAGAGGGTGAGAAGGAAAACCCCACTAGTTCTAGGTCAAAGGGAGACTTTGTAAAGGAGGCCATCGGGTAATGATGGTCAGAGAGGTAGGAAGAAAAACCAGTTCAAAAACCCAAGGCAACATTGTTGAAGAGATCCAATACCAAGAAGATGAAAAGCATCCTTTAAGCTTAAGCAATTGTCTCATTATAATCTTAGTGAATGTATTTTAAGGGAGTAGTTGAGTCTAAAGGTAGATGGCAGTGGTAGTGAAATGAATGGGACAGGAAGATGTGGGGAGAGTGAATGCAGATGCTGCTTCTGAGATGTTTGGGGAAGACTTGGAGAAGAAAAAACAGGGACTGAGCAGCAGGGTATAAGACCAAGTGACATGCACTTCTGAGAGTAGAAGAGACTGTGCATGTGCCTCTAGCACACTGAATAAATAGAACTCATGGGGTATATTTATGAAACGCCTGTTGTTTTTGTTTCTTACTGTCCCATTTAACTTGTTCAGTGCACAGAGTCCTTCCCTTGTCCCTGGATGCAAACTCCAGCAGACCCCACGATGATTCTTATCACTCTTGGATAGAAGAAAAGTCCTAGAGTCACACTAAGTCGCAAACAGGCTTCAATTCCATTATTGAAATTATCCCATCTCGTGTAGCAGTAAAAAACTGAACCTAATTTGAAATTAAAATCTCCTCCTGCCCCGCCACTGTGGTCTACTTCTGGCTGACCATTTACAATGGGCAAGTCCTTTTTTTCCCCTTAACTCCCTCATGCATTTTTTCCCTAGTAGGTGTGGTGTCTGAACCCAGCAGGGTCCAATCAGGGAGGGAGAGAAAGGGAGGTAGGAGGTTCTGGTTTACGATAGCTTTACACTCTCTGGACCAGCAGTGTTGAAGCTGATTCTTTCCTGGGATGGCTGGAAGGTTCTTCAACTTCCTTAGTATGGGACGTGGGTAATCTAAACTTCCATGCTTCTTTCTGTACTAAGTGTGGACAGTGACTCCCGTCAGACACATTCCTCTCCCAAATTCCACTGTCTCATGCTTAATAGTCAACTAATCGGTTT